TTTACCCAACAAAGTGAGATGACAAGATTTATCTACTACGTGACCTGACTTTACCCTAACAAAGTGAGATGACTAGATTTATCTACTTCGTGACCTGACTTTACCCAACAAAGTGAGATGACTAGATTTATCTACTACGTGACCTGACTTTACCCAACAAAGTGAGATGACTAGATTTATCTACTTCGTGACCTGACTTTACCCAACAAAGTGAGATGACTAAATTTATCTACTTCGTGACCTGACTTTACCCAACAAAGTGAGATGACTAGATTTATCTACTACGTGACCTGACTTTACCCAACAAAGTGAGATGACTAGATTTATCTACTACGTGACCTGACTTTACCCAACAAAGTGAGATGACTAGATTCACCTACTTCATGACCTAACTTTACCCAACAAAGTGAGATGACTAGAATTGTTGTGATGCGTGTGTTAATCACTGTATTTTTTTTAAAAGGGGTACACACACTATAAGTCAAAACAGATTAAGAAATTTGCCGCTGCATGAAAACAGCAGGACCTGTGCAACTGTAAATTAAAAAATCACCAGGACGCTGGAAATGTAAGGCCACAGACTAAAATTTGTGTTGATCCATTCAAGAGTTTTAAAGCACACTAAAAAACAGGTATGTTTATGCAGCAGCGCCTCAGCTGAGCTATTACCAGAAAGAACCCATTGGGCACTTTATATATAGATATGGACAACAGTGAGAAGACAATTGATCTGCCCACCTGTAGCATACTGCCAGTGATCAAAGAATGAAAACAGGAAACATGTGATCAGTCAATACTGAGAGACAATAAGTAGACAAGCCTATTGCAGAAAAAAAGGTCACACGAAGAATCACCACAACCAGCGGCAATGACATCAAGAATCACCACAACCAGTGGCAGTGACATCAAGAATCACCACAACCAGTGGCAGTGACATCAAGAATCACCACAACCAGTGGCAGTGACATCAAGAATCACCACAACCAGTGGCAGTGACATCAAGAATCACCAAAACCAGCGGCAAAAACATCAAGAATCATCACAACCAGCGGCAATGACACCAAGAATCACCACAACCACTGACAGTGACATCAAGAATCACCACAAGCAGTGGCAGTGACATCAAGAATCACCACAAGCAGTGGCAGTGACATCAAGAATCACCACAACCAGCGGCACTGACATCAAGAACCACAACCAGCGGCAATGACATCAAGAAAAAATATGCAGGACTCAGCTCCCACCCGTTTTTACTTTTTGTTAAGGTGGGCACACACCAGACCAGTTTACTGAACACAACAGTACAGTTTACTGGACACAACAGTAGTTTACAGTGATAAGATAGTCCTGCAAATATCCCACATACAGGCATGGTCTAGTGTGATAAGATAGTCCTGTAAATATCCTGCATACAACCCACATACAGGCATGGTCTAGTGTGATAAGATAGCCCTGCAGACATCCCACATACAACCCACATACAGACATGGTCTAGTGTGATGAGACAGTCCTGCAAATATCCCCCATACAGGCATGGTCTAGTGTGATGAGATAGTCCTGCAAACATCCCGCATACAGGCATGGTCTAGTGTGATGAGATAGTCCTGCAATTATCCCGCATACAACCCACATACAGGCATGGTCAGTCTAGTGTGATAAGATAGCCCTGCAAACATCCCGCATACAACCCACATACAGGCATGGTCAGTCTAGTGTGATAAGATAGCCCTGCAAACATCCCGCATACAACCCACATACAGGCATGGTCTAGTGTGATAAGATAGTCCTGCAAACATCCCACATACAGGCATGGTCTAGTGTGATTAGATAGTCCTGCAAACATCCCGCAAAAAACCCACATACAGGCATGGTCAGTCTAGTGTGATAAGGCATGGTCTAGTGTGATAAGATAGTCCTGCAAACATCCCACATACAGGCATGGTCTAGTGTGATAAGATAGTCCTGCAAACATCCCACATACAGGCATATCTAGTGTGATAAGATAGTCCTGCAAACATACCGCATACAGGCATATCTAGTGTGATAAGATAGTCCTGCAAACATACCGCATACAACCCACACACAGGCATGGCCTAGTGTCCTGCAAACATCCCAAAAACAGGGATGGTCTGACCCATATATGGTCAGATTTACATCACACGTCTGCCTGGTCTCTGACCCAATATATATGGTCATACTTATATCACACGTTTGCCTGGTCTCTGACCCATATATGGTCAGATTTACATCACACGCCTGCCTGGTCTCTGACCCACATATGGTCATATTTACATCATACGTCAGCCTGGTACCTAACCCATATATGGTCATACTTATATCACACGTTTGCCTGATCCCAGGCAAGGGTTTATTCTGTTATGAACATTTTAATAATTAGCAACACAAAATATAGAGCAACAATCCACATCCTAGCAGACAAACCAACAATCCATATCAGGGTGCAGAAACCAACAATTCACATCCCGGTACATAGAGGAAACAAACAAACATCACGGTAAACAGTGGAATCAACAATTCACATCATGGTAAACAGACCAACATTCCAGAAAATGTAAATGGATCTACATTCTACATTGGGCAAACCAATCCACTATCCACATTATGGTAAACAGATAAACAATTTGCAACACAATAAATAGACCAACAATCCATTTTACGGTAAGCAGACCAACGATCTGCATTGAGTAAACAAGACAACAATTCCAACCACAAAAAAACCAACAATTTACACCACGATTAACAGAATGACCAACAATTCACATCACACAAAACAGAAGGACCAATAATTCACATCACAGCAAACAGTTGGAACAACAATCAACACCACAATAAACTAAAAGACCAACAATTAACATCAGAGTAAACAGGCCAACAATCCACATAACAGTAACTAGACCAAAAATCCATACCACAACGTACAGAAGGACCAACAATTCATATCACAGTTAACACATGGACCAAAAATCCAATCACAGTAAACAGGAGGACTAACAATTGACACCACAATAAACCGATGGAAAAACAAACCACATAACAGTAAAAGAGAGATACAAGAACAGACCACAAATATCTCTATTTGGACGTGTTACAACACAACACACAACTTCTTCTTCTTCGTTCACCGGCTGTGAATTCCGGTGGAAGGTCGAGGTTAATCGTCCGCTTGAACTTTTGGCTTTTACCTGGACCTGAGTTTTGCGTGTACAACTGTTTGACTGGTTTTCACCATTCCCTGCCTCGCGGGCAGATGTACTCCGACTTCGAGGGAAGACGCCAGGCCTATTTCTAGGATGACTGTGGCCATTGTTTTGTGTGGGTCGAGATATTACCTTATTTGTGTGGTGTCCTCTTTGTCCCTTTCTCCACAGGTGTTGTCCCCGGAGTACCCCTTTTGGGTCGGCCCTATAGGGAAGGCAGGGGCAGATCATTTGCATTCCCCGCCACCCAAGGCTTCCATAGATGCAGAGCCGGCACATAAAGCTCTGGTTCTGGGCTCACCCAAGAAATCGTCACGTCCTGCACATAACTGCTTAACCTCACAACCGTATTAGGCTTCCCGCTCGACACGGGCTGCGCCCTCCGAAGATCAGGGGGGGGGGGAGCAGCCCGTGGGGTCTGGACTTTTGTGACCACATGAATAGGTACAATCTTTTTTCATCGCACGATTATCATCTTTAGCGTGCTGTTAGCACGACAGAATGGAGAATTCTGAGTCAGGCTTGCCTTTATCTGTTTGATCCCAACACTCTGGCAAGTGGGGTCTCGGCATGTGGACATTGGGACTTTTTCAATCAAAACGATTTATGATGGTCGGATTTTGAGCTTGCTCGTATGCCATAGGATCTATTTTTGTCAGACAAATGGCCTTAACCAGCCGATGGATGGTTGCTGTCTTGTACCTCAGCGCGATGGCGACGACACTGAGGGTTGACAGAGGATGTAAATGGGTAGAATCTTGCTGCGAGACGCCATCCACAGGAGATGTTATTCGTCTGTGCTGCGGGTAAATCTCTAGGTCAAGGGTTGAGTCTCAGCAACACAATGTTCTCCCCACCCCATAAGCTTTTAACCGAGGGTTGTCTATTTTAGTTGTACATTTGGCAAGCACTTTACTCATGTTCCTAATGAGTTTTGATAAGCTTTTTCACCCATGCGTTTGGTGGTGGGCTGATGAGAGCCAAAAGGACACTGCACCTCTGGGGGCCACCAACTCTGAGATCCCCTGGCAGCTCTGTTAATGCTCATTTGAGACATTATCCGTGGCGTACGACGAGGACACGCTGTAGGAGTCTTGCGTGAGGTTCCGTAAAACCAGAACAGTGCAGGACTGGCGCCTGAATGACGTACGGTGTAATTCCTTACACACATCAAGTGGACTTAACTTTACCTCACGCATGTGACAGAAATCACAGTGCCACACAACAGACAACTGTAGTTAGTTACAACACAGCTACAGTTACCCAAATGCCAACTTTTATTAATTGCAATTCTCCAAATATACACATACATGGTTAGTGGCAATTATGACTGATGCTTAAACAACAAACTAGGCAACACAAACTTATGTAATCATGACACAAGTGCAACAAGGAACACCCATGACACATCAGTTACCGAACACCGCTATCGACAACACCTGACAATGCAGACATAATGAACTGTCAAAAACAAGTCATCGCTGACTTCTGCCCCAATGGCTGAAATGATTTGGGAAACCTGCACTCAAGCCACCCCCATGGAGTCACTGACAACTTTGGCTGCCAATATAGTTCTGAGGCAGCTGCTGAAAGTAAACATGTTGCTGGCTTCCCTTACATGCTAGACTACCTACACACACCAGCCACTGAAGGGAGTACATCTCAAACACAAATATTAGCAATAAGACAGTTGACCTTGCTACATGGTAATACAGCATTAGTAAACACACACACACACAGTACATCAGATCTGTCAGGCTGACTCTCCCAGATGGCATCAGGCTACAGTATAGCACAGCCATGACTGCCCCCATTCTTCTGGCGAAGTCTGTACTTTGCCCTGTAGTGTTCCAGGTAGGTCAGCTGTTTAGCATTGAGAGCACCACGCCGTTTCCTGGTTGAAAGTGAGAAGAGCCATTTTACAACACACTAAAGAGTGTCAGTTAACAAAAAGTATTCAAAGAACAAAGTTTTATAACATATAACTAGAGCATAACTAGATATAACAACAGACAATAGGACACAATAAGAGACCACTAGAGCACACGTTACAACAGACAACTAGAGCACAAGTTCCAAAAGATTAGAGCAGTAGTTACAACAGACTAGAGCACAAGTTTCAACAGACTAAAGTACAAGTTACAGAAAACTAGAGCACAAGTTACAGAAAACAACTAGAGTACAAGTTACAGAAAACAACTAGAGTACAAGTTACAGAAAACAGCTAGAGTACAAGTTACAGCAGACAACTAGAGCACAAGTAACAGTAGACAACTAAAGCACAAGTAACAGTAGACAACTAGAATACAAGTTGACTTACTCTCTGATCATTTCCACGGCATCTTCGTACTTAAGACCAGCCTCCATCAAAGCCAGGGCCACTAGAACCGGTGCTCTGAAACAGAATAAACTTGTTCATGCCATCATTGAGTGGTCTCGTGTAACCTGATCTAGACAACAGCCATATAAATATCCTACATAAGACCTACTTTCATCATAAGACAGACCCAGGTAACAGATCTAGACAACAACCATACAAATATTCTATGTAAGACAATAGCATCAAAAGACAGACCCAGGTAACAGATCTAGACAACAACCATACAAATATTCTATATAAGACATAATAACATCATAAGACAGACCCAGGTAACAGATCTAGACAACAACCATACAAATATTCTATATAAGACATAATAACATCATAAGACAGACCCAGGTAACAGATCTAGACAACAACCATACAAACATTCTATATAAGACATAATAACATCATAAGACAGACCCAGGTAACAGATCTAGACAACAACCATACAAACATTCTATATAAGACATAATAACATCATAAGACAGACCCAGGTAACAGATCTAGACAACAACCATACAACGTTTCTATATAAGACATAATAACATCATAAGACAGACCCAGGTAACAGATCTAGACAACAACCATACAAATATTCTATATAAGACATAATAACATCATAAGACAGACCCAGACAACAACCATACAAACATTCTATATAAGACATAATAACATCATAAGACAGACCCAGGTAACAGATTTAGACAACAACCATTCAAATATCCAATTAGGGGGGGTGGGGGGGGGGGGAGGAAAAGGTGGAGGACAAAAGTTGTGTATAAATAATCAATATAGCATTATACTTAAGTACAGGCAGGCCAGATGTGAGGTGACCTACCTTCCTAAGCCAGCCACACAGTGTACAGCAACACAACAGCCAGGTTCCTCTGTGAAACGAGTCTTCAGCAGGTTGAACCAGTCTTGGACAACATCAGGAGGTGGGGGGCTGCCATCATCAAACTCCCAGTCCTGGGGGCAATCCAAGTTCACAGTCAATAACATCCAACAATATTTCACCCAGTCATTCATGACCACCCACCCATCCATGACTACCAAAGCTATCAATCCCCCAGTCTTGGGGGCAGATCCAAGTTCACAGTCAGTAACATCCAACAATATTTCACCCAGGTCCACCCACTTAGCAACTGTCAACCCAACCACCCACCTAGAAAGAGGTTACATAACTGCACAGACAAGGCTAATATTACCACTGGTAAGCACAGCACATCTGTCATGTGGCTACGCAAGTGCACATCCTGGTATCTACATGTAGCTACGCAGCGGTGCATGTGCTGGTATCTATATGTGGTGCACATCCTATTATCTAATACATGTGTGATATGTGCTGTTTGGTGTATGGACAGCAAATCTGGCGAAGTGTCTAGAGGTGAATGATTAACACTTTGCCCATATATATAGATACAAGACCCAGTTAGTCGTAAAAAGGTCGACTTGGGGAATGTGTGTGTGTGTGTGTGTATGTATGCGTGTGTGTGTGTGTGTGTATATATATATATATATATATATATATATATATATATATATATATATATATATATATATATATATATATATATATATAATATATATATATATATGTATATATATATAAATAAAAATATATATATATAAATGCATACACACACACACAAAAACATTCCCCAAGTCGACCTTCTTACGACTAACTGGTGAAAGAACATAATGAACACAGTCACAGTCTCTATCTCAAACACTCTGTCGCCAGTTTCACAGCAACTCATCAGTAGGCATCTATAATAGTGCTTAAGTCAATGTTATTATTGGCGAGCATACTAGATTAAGATTTGGTGATAAACAGTTCAACTCTCCATGGCAATGACATAATACACAGACTACAAGCCAAACTGATGTACGACCATATTCGTCCATTCTATCTTGTCAATGGAGAGTCACTAATTGGACAAACACAGATTCCTTTCAGTCCACCGTCTGGCCACGCACGAGTCTCGCAAAATGTGTGAATCGGCTGTCTCTGCTGAACTCAAGAAACATCTCTCTCAATTTACTTGTGCAAATCAATAGCTGTAAAACTCCAGAAACATCTCTTTCCTAATTCTGTGCACAGCGATGACCTTCTGCACTAGCCTCAACCATCATCGTCATCTAGTGCCTTTTACGACCGGCGTAGGCGATCACACCTCTGTACTCTGGTAAATTGACCAGCAATGAATTTAGCCTGCAACAATGTAAGTGGTCCACGTCTTGGTATCTACATGAGGCTACAAAAGTGGTGCACATCTTTATATTTACACCAAGCTACACAAGTGGTGCATACAATGGTATCTACATGTGGCTACATAAGTGGTGCACACCTTTATATTTACACCAAGCTACACAAGTGTTGCATATCTTGGTATTTTCATGTGGCTACATAAGTGGTGCACATCCTGGTACCTACATTTCATGTGTTCCTTACAAGTTTTATGTGTGTTCCATTCACATGTGTTTTGTTCGCCTTGTGTTCCCTTCATGTGTCAGGCGTGTTCCCTGTACATTATTTTGTGAGCTCTACTGGATGTTTTCTTCTGTATCTATGCTAGGCTTGGATTTAGCCAAATGAACACACACAACAGTGAACTCAGCAAATGGCACAAATACATGTCTGTCAGGACATCGCACACAGCACACATGTCTGTCAGGACACATCCAGCACACCTGTCTGTCAGGACATCACACACAGCACACATGTCTGTCAGGGCATCACACACAGCACAACTGTCTGTCAGGACATCACACACAGCACACCTGTCTGTCAGGACATCACACACAGCCCTCATGTCTGTCAGGACATCACACACAGCACACATGTCTGTCAGGACATCACACAGTACACATGTCTATTAGGATATCGCACACATCATGTCTGTCAGGACAGCACACATGTCTGTCAAGGCATGACATGCCATACATGCCCATCCGGACATAAAAAAACAAAACATAGATTTATACCAGCACTCGTATGCCACTATCAGACAACTTCTCCTTGCTGTACGTAGGCTCACAGACCCTGACTACATCCTTGACTCCATGTTTCTGCAGATCATCACAGACAACACACACATGTCTATAGGATATGGCACAACAGGGTTTTGTATTCTGACTGTTGCAGGACATCCCCACAGCTACACCTGTCTGGATGAACATCACACACATGCACACCTTGTGTATTAGGATATCTTGTGTACTGACTGTGGTGATCTTGTCTGGCAGTGACAGCACACATGTCTGTCAGGGCATAACATGCCACACATGCCCATCCGGACATAAAAAAACAAAACATAGATTTATACCAGCACTCGTATGCCACTATCAGACAACTTCTCCTTGCTGTACGTAGGCTCACAGACCCTGACTACATCCTTGACTCCATGTTTCTGCAGATCCTGGCAACAGACTGTGACATGATCACTGACTGTGAAATAATACATGTGATGATGATGTACAACAGGGTGATGATGATGTACTCTGGTTTACTGATACTGTGATGATGATGTTTACTGACTGTGATGATGATGTTTACTGACTGTGATGATGTTGTTTACTGGTACTGTGATGATGTGGGTTACTGACTGTGATGATGATGTTTACTGGTACTGACTGTGATGATGATGTTTACTGACTGTGATGATGATGTTTACTGACTGTGATGATGATGTTTACTGGTACTGTGATGATGATGTTTACTGGTACTGTGATGATGTTGTTTACTGGTACTGTGATGATGATGTTTACTGGTACTGTGATGATGTTGTTTACTGGTACTGTGATGATGATGTTTACTGGTACTGTGATAATGTTGTTTACTGGTACAATGATGTGTACTGGCTATGATGTTGTTGTGTACTAACTGTAATGATGATGGGTACTGACTGATGAAGTTGTGCACTGACTGTGATGATCTTGTGTACCGAGCTGTGATGTTGCGGTGTACTGTGATGATCTTGTGTATTGACTGTGATGTTGCGGTGTACTAACTGTGATGATCTTGTGTACTGACTGTGATGATGAGGTGACTGACTGATGTTACTGACTGTGATGATACTAACTGTGACTGTGATGTTGCGGTTATACTTGTGTATTGACTGACTGAAGTTGTGGTGTACTAACTGTGATGATCTTGTGTACTGACTGTGATGTTGTGGTGTACTGACTGTGATGATCTTGTGTACTGACTGTGATGATGAGGTGTACTGACTGTAATGATGTGTAGTGACTGTGATGATCTTGTCTACTGACTGTAATGCTGCAACAAGATGACCAAGTATGTGAAACACACAGGCAGTTACAGGGCAACCTGTCTGCAGTAAAGCTAAAACCTTAACTAGTGACTAACCTGAAGAAACTTGTCCAGGTTGGCATCAGTTGGACGGTCTGTGATCAGGAAGCGCATGTTATTGTGGCAAATTTCTGCTGGCTCTGGTCTTCGAGCTTTCATCATGGGAGCAGATTATTTCGGAAAAATATTTCCTGAGAGGCAAACATAATGCTTGATGAAGAGGCTGCAGCTACCAGTGAGGCTCAGCTAATCTAGTGACAGCTGTCTGGCTGGAGGGAGCATGCAGTCACATTCCGATACTACAGTATCAATTCAAACAGCCTGATGGCTGAATCATCAAACCGAACCTTGTTTAATTGTAACCATCACCTAGACATCAATGCCCAGCTTGTTCTGTAACCAGCATCTACACATCAATGCCCACCTTGCTTTGTAACTTCCACCAACACATCAATGCCTACCTTGTTCTGTAACTACCCCCTACACATCAATGCCCACCTTGCTCTGTAACCAGCATCTAGACATCAATGCCCACCTTGCTCTTCTGTAACTACCTCTTACACATCAATGCCCACCTTGCTCTTCTGTAACTACCTCCTACACATCAATGCCCACCTTGCTCTTCTGTAACTACCCCCTACACATCAATGCCCACTTTGCTCTTCTGTAACTACCTCCTACACATCAATGCCCACCTTGCTCTGTAACCAGCATCTACACATCAATGCCCACCTTGCTTTGTAACTTCCACCAACACATCAATGCCCACCTTGTTCTGTAACTACCTCCTACACATCAATGCCCACCTTGTTCTGTAACTACCTCCTACACATCAATGCCCACCTTGCTCTTCTGTAACTACCCCCTACACATCAATGCCCACCTTGTTCTGTAACTACCTCCTACACATCAATGCCCACTTTGCTCTGTAACCAGCATCTAGACATCAATGCCCACCTTGCTCTTCTGTAACTACCCCCTACACATCAATGCCCACCTTGTTCTGTAACTACCTCCTACACATCAATGCCCACCTTGTTCTGTAACTACCTCCTACACATCAATGCCCACCTTGCTCTTCTGTAACTACCTCCTACACATCAATGCCCACCTTGCTCTTCTGTAACTACCTCCTACACATCAATGCCCACCTTGCTCTTCTGTAACTACCTCCTACACATCAATGCCCACCTTGTTCTGTAACTACCTCTTACACATCAATGCCCACCTTGCTCTTCTGTAACTACCCCCTACACATCAATGCCCACCTTGCTCTGTAACCAGCATCTAGACATCAATGCCCACCTTGTTCTGTAACTACCCCCTACACATCAATGCCCACCTTGCTCTTCTGTAACCAGCATCTAGACATCAATGCCCACCTTGCTCTGTAACCAGCATCTAGACATCAATGCCCACCTTGTTCTGTAACTACCTCCTACACATCAATGCCCACCTTGCTCTGTAACCAGCATCTAGACATCAATGCCCACCTTGCTCTGTAACCAGCATCTAGACATCAATGCCCACCTTGCTCTGTAACCAGCATCTAGACATCAATGCCCACCTTGCTCTTCTGTAACTACCCCCTACACATCAATGCCCACCTTGTTCTGTAACTACCTCCTACACATCAATGCCCACCTTGCTCTGTAACCAGCATCTAGACATCAATGCCCACCTTGCTCTTCTGTAACTACCCCCTACACATCAATGCCCACTTTGCTCTTCTGTAACTACCCCCTACACATCAATGCCCACCTTGCTCTGTAACTACCTCCTACACATCAATGCCCACTTTGCTCTTCTGTAACTACCCCCTACACATCAATGCCCACTTTGCTCTTCTGTAACTACCCCCTACACATCAATGCCCACCTTGCTCTGTAACTACCTCCTACACATCAATGCCCAACTTGCTCTTCTGTTACTACCACCCAGATATCAAAAACTTTCTCTACTGTAACCGTCATAAAAAACATCAACTGTGACTGTATGAGTGCCTGTGTGTGCATCTGTGTTTCCCTGCCTGCGTGTGTGTATGTGTTTGGGTGTGTGACTGTAACTGCATGCGTGTGTCTGTTTGGGCTTATGTTTGTGTGCGTTGGTGTGTGTGTTTGTATGGGTCTTTTTGTGCGGCTACGTGTGTGTAGGTATGTGTGTGTGTCTGTGTGGGATTGTGTTTGTGTGTGTCGGACATGTGTGTTTGTATAGGTCTTTTTGTGCGGCTACGTGTGCGTGTATGTATAGCTGTGTGTGTCTATATGTGTCTGGGTTGTATATGTGTGTGTTTTAGAGCGCATGTCTGTGTGGGTGACAGTGTGTATGAATGAATGTATGTATGTATGTATGTGTGTGCGTGTTCGTATGTATGTGGATGTGTGTGTGTATTGGGTACCTATGTGTATGTATGTGTGAGTGAATGGGTTTGCGTGTGTGTGTTCGCGTGCAAACTTGCGCACATATTTTACCACCCATGCTTTTGTTTTTGACATGATATTCATAGTATGCATATTAATACATGAACATAACAGCTTTATTGATGAAATAGAACTGCTGTGTGAAAGATGAGAGATGGAAGGGCCGAATGTAAGACAGGCCTGCATGCCTAATTTGTAACCCTTTGAAAATAAAGTTCGTTCGTTCAACCCTGACTTTAACATTTGTTGTTACTTATCTATGTGGTACAGACATTTACAGCATTTCACAACAAACAAAATGTTTAATACTAATACAGAATAGACGAGCAGGTTAACCATTACTGCAAAAGCAGCAAAAGACATCCTTTATAACTCAATCATTCACTCAACACTAGCTCCGAACGGATATACAAGCTCCAACAATTAAGTAATGAGACTGATTTTATAATTGGCAAAGACAAAAGTTCCATATATAAAAAAGCAAAGCATGGAATCCAAAGAGACAACATTCATCTATGATCTGGCAACTTTTCATCCCCGCTCGATAAGCAGACAACAAACAAGCCACCATTTTGCTGACCTACTCAGATATGCATTGAAACGTTAGCACAGAGCAAAAAGCTAACATTAAATTCTTTTTAAAACTCAGAAAAAGTGCCATTGAAACAGTTGAATTCATTTAACAAGTTTATGGGGATAATTGTTTATATCGCGCACAATTTTCAGGTGGTATTTACGATTTAAAAGTGGTGTAGAAATGATTACTAATGCACCTAGACACAACATTTTTGTTCGAAATGATGAACTTATTGCAAAAGTAAAAGAACGGATACAAGAAAATCATCGTTTAACTGTTAAAATGATGGCAGATGAATCTGGTGTTAATAGAGAGACCACTCATAAATTTTAGTGCAAGATCTTGGCAAGAAAAAAGTTGCTTGCCGGTTTGTACCACATTCGTTGTTTAATAACCAAAAACATCAGCGGGTTGGGTACCCAAGAGACATCACCAAAACAAGAATTTTTGGCCCAAAAACAAGTGTGTGTTTTCAGCCTTCCACCCTAATTCCCAGTTTTGTCTCCATGTGATTATTTTCTATTCCCAAAATTAAAAATACAGGTTATATTTTCAACAGTTGATTATTTTAATTTTTATGGAATTAGTCTCATCACTTAATTGTCGGACCTTGTACTTCACTATTCATTAAATATTTGTACAAATTTCATAATGAACTCAACACAAGTAGAGAATTGAAAATTCACTCAATGCCAGTAAATAATTCACAATTTACTCATACATTCACTCAATACAAGTAAAGTGAACCCAAAAATTTGCTAATCACAAGTAGATAATTCACAACGAACCTAACTATTCACTTCACACAAGTACTGAATTCACAATTCTTCCAATATCAGTACATAATTCCTTATGAACTCTTTACTTAATGAAGGTAGACAATTGACAATTAACATTCACCACACCAAACTAATGAAGCAAGCAAAAGAAAGCCAAGTGGGTCACTCACCTGTGCTCAACAGGGACCACTCAAAGGCAAGTGGGCGCTGGCAGGTGTAGCAGTGTCCTTGCCCCCAGAAGGCCAAGTCGTTGACAAGGCTGGATACACTACAGGTTCAACTATTCACAAATGCAGTGTCCTACAAACTGTTCAGTGGCCAGATAATTGCTCCATCAGATGGAACTGAGCTCACGTCTTGCACACACAAACACCCACTGACCAGGACCGTCGTCCACTTTGTGAATGCAAACGCAACAGTATCAATGTCAGGCTGACAAATATGATCAATCCAATGTGCTGCTTGTAACCAACCACTCACACAACAAAACTGCTGCTGCCCACACAGGTGATAAAGATAGTACCTGGGGAAGATAACACTGGGGGAATCAAACAACAGTCGTGACCACAAGATTCATACAAAAAAATCAGCAGTGGGGGAATCAAACAACTACTTTAATCACAAGATTCACACAAAACATCAACGGTGGGAGAATGAAATAGCTGTGAACAGTCATAAACTATCCTCATGTTTAACCACGTCACATGACCACCATAATTACTGATCAGGTCAGTGCTCTTGTGCCACTCAGATCAGTTTCCTGATTGGCCACCGATGACCGACTTCATTGTTAATGTTTAATGGAGCCTGTTGTTTCCAGTGTATGTTCTCTTGCAGCCTCATTATAGTATGTGTTCTGTAGCAGTAAGTAGTTTTAGTGAAACTGTATACATCAAGATATAAATTTTAAACCATAACAGCTAGATAGAGGTTGAAAAACAACTGTCCAACGGTACATCAACAAAGCCTGAAGGTCAATTCTAAGCGGAGATATCCACATGTCAGTGACGGAAAATACTCCCTTAAATTAGAATGGAAAATGACAGAAACAAGGTTGCATCATGTTTCCTATTGAAAATTTGACTTGAAGTGACAGCTTCTGTATGCTTAATGTCTCATACATTTTTTGCCGAACCTCTTAGCAACGATATATCATTGCATTCACGGCAGCAAGCTTTACTAAAAATGTTGCCTTTTTAAAGATATGATACTAACCTAATTAACATACATAAATGACCATCAATCACGAAATACCTTATGAATTATTGTTTATCGCCCAGCAAGCCTTGCAAGATATATACTGTAATTTGTTTGCCTTTGTAACGATGTATTTCTTAATCTTATTTGTTGAAAAATGCTTTTTCCTTGCACTGTCACTTGTGTTGC